ATCATTTTAAACAAAAACGATTGTTCCACAATTTTTGAACGGAATCATTAGGAACGAGTAATAGGGTGAATATATATATATATATGTTTATGCAAAAAAATAAAACTTCGAAGTCTACTAGTTCCATAAAATATTAGTTTTAATGAACTCAAAATTTCGGTTAGAGTTTCATATTTAATATTAGACTCAGTCAATAGAGCGCAACACAACATTAGTCACTAAAACACAAGCGACCTAAATAATAATATATGTGCATATGAAAAGAAAATAGCATTTCTCAAAATTGGAAGCTTGTGTACTTTCTTCTTAACAACGACAAGCGATTCGGCACAAACATTCGCAAATTCACCGTAATTTCATTAATTATCTAATTAGCTAAGAGGTAGGAGAGGAAGTTAATGACTTGGCAGTGATTTAAGGTCTTACTTAAGCTTAATAATCGTTTTACGGGAGTCCTTTTTCATCCATCTTCGAAGGCCGCTTCATTTACGCAATTTACCTACACTACGGCTGCCACTATTGTTTCCTTTAATAAAAAGCGTTCGTCACGTAGAAATTTTATGTTCGCTGAGAATAGAGGGAACTTAAAGGGTTCGTCGAAAGTGTTCTCACTTGTCTAATTGCCAGCCCTCACTTAACTTCGAGTGACTTCAACTGTTCGCTCTGCTTGCTTTCCCATACATTCCTTAATCTATTTGCACTTACCAAACCGTCAGTTCATGAATCAATTCATACGTACCAGTGTAAATGGTCAGATACATTAATGGTTCAGATTTTTGTCAATAACGTACTATATAAAAGATGCCTGCAAGAGAATTGGCATGTACGTTCATCTAACCTTGAATTCGTAGAGTATTCAAATACTTATCCTAACTGGTAGATAGCAAAAATTCATTATATGCTACATGCATCTTTCTTTCTTTCGTATTGGTTTTCTTTGAACCTTTGCTAAAATTTAATTTTTTGACCAACAAAGCGTTAATAACATATTTGTGGTCATTTAATAATCAGAAAGGTAGGGAAGAAATCATTGCCACAGCAACTTTTGTTAAATTAACGAAGTGAAAGCTTACGTTGAGATATCTATGATTGTACCATGAACTCTTGATTTCTACGCGAAAATTCATTGACATTATTAAATAAGTATTTTTGGTATTTTCTTTTTTTTTTTGCACACACAGTTAATAGACAATTATTGTAATTAATATTATTTATCGTTCATCGTACGGTACTCTGAATGTAATAATTTATTAATTTTCTTCGTCCTTCTGCGTGATATTCATTCAATCTTTTGTATATAATGTCTCAATAATATTTTCATTGGAATTTTTGCGTAATTAAAAAATAATATTTTCACGTTAATGCATTAATTTATTGGAAAACGATTTATGGTAGACACTTACTGCACCGAACTTTATTGTTATGCACGTCCTCAATGCAATAAATTGCTGCACCTATATGAGCTCAAATTATTATTGTGCGATAAAGCATTAGTTCCCAAATTGTTACCTAAACTGACGCCGAACATCGACGAACCTAACGTAGGTCAGTAGTAATTTTGAAATCAATTTTGTTTGATTCACAAAGTGCAAATACACTGCAAATATTTAAGCATAAATGATATCTGAATTGTTTGCTGAATCTACGGAATTTTCACAATTTCGTAAATAAATATTTGATGCGTTTTTTCTTTCCCGAGCCCATCTACAGATGATCACCGCGAGACCGCCGCGAACTGTATTCGAGTTAAAAGAAATTATTTTCTTACCAAAAACAATTATTACCATAGTTTATATACACACATACGTATATATATATACATATTTCTATGTATACTATACCACTCTACTACATAAAAATATGTATGTATATATATATACATATATCATGGTGTTTTATTGTGACAACAACACAAAATTATGTACGTCAAAAAGATCAAAAGGTCGGAGGCTGTAAACGGATAGGCACTCACGTATCATAAAAAGCTAGCTAGTTCGGCAGCAATGAGAGTGTTTCTATCCGTATATCACAGACACTGCAAGAAAGGTTGCATTAAAGATATATATAAGTGCTAAAATCCTTATGAGGAAATCGTTTTATTTACCCTTCCCTTCTTATTTTTTCCTTACCAAAATAATATTTTGAAAATAAAACAATTGCTGCAATGTTTATAATGCTTTGGAAGAGTTTGATTTTTAAAATCAAATACGTACTCTGCTGTAATCAATCATCTTTGTATTTATTCCCTACCGTTGCTGGTTTGATAGGTCATCTTGGTAAAAAGCTGTAATATTTCCTTAACACATAATATTTATATTAATATTTTTTTTGCTACAGATATGGCGCCATCCCATTGCTAGTAGTTGGCCTCGGGTTTTTTCTGCGTGGTTAAAAGTCCGAGTCATTTCCTTGCCTCTTAATCTCAGTCTATGGTAAGGTGGTAAGAGTAGAACAACAGACAGACAATCATATCTGAAACGATTCCCCTATTCATTATGATCTAAAATATAAGTGCACTTTATGAGGTTTTCAAAACGGATTCCCACATATAAGAAAACTGACTCTTTGTAGTAGTTAAATAAAACGCATTTTTCTTCTTTTTTTTTTTTTGTTATTGTTATATTATTGCACATGATAAATTCAAGACCAGGCGATAATCGCGTAAATATCTGAACTTGAATTAATCCGGAATAATGCGCTTTTTTGCATAAGATATTGTATACCAATCAACAATAAGTCTTTCCAATCGCATTGCAATGGTTTGTACATGTTGTATGTATTGCTATGTATTTTATATTTGTTTTTAAACTGTTTTCTCAATGTATTTGAGTGTTTTCCATATTTTGCTTTAAGCAGATTTTAAAGTTTGTCTATGTTTTATGGCAACTATAAGCGGGTTGTTTTATATATATATATTTTTTTGTCTTTGGAATAAAAGTTATTTGCAATAAAACAAATGCTACCGAATATTACGCCTCTCATCTGTGAGGTTCAGTTTTCCTCACTTTGAGCATTTATGTCCAGTATTTCACAAACATAACATGTTTTTTTTTTTTTTTGTATGTCCTCCCTTCGTTTGATGCACTATAGTGTATGTTATGTATGTTAACATGTTCAATAATATTGAGAAGGCAAGATTCGGAATTTTAATAACAATAGGAAGGAAAAGAAGAAATAAATAAAAACTATTGTCAAAGATGAATGAAAGGTAATCTTCGATTTTTCCTTTTTTTTTTTTGTTGTTGTAAGATTTGCATTTATTTGCTAAGGGAAAAGATTTGCTTTTATACTTACGATTTCTGCTATGTTTAGTTTACCAAGTTTTATAAATGGGAAGTTACATGCTGCACGATCTATTTAAAATGATCTGTAGAAAAACCCCAAGACTTGAAAATAGCAAAGAGACGTTCAAATCTTTTCTTTATATTCAAAACATAATTTGTTTCAGAAAACCACTATTCGTCTGTTTTTATTTCTGGTCGAGCACACTGCGTGAGTATAACAGTTGATCTAGTTTGCATAGATATATCAAATCGATGTCGGGTCAAAAGTGTTCTTTTCACAACCAAACATTTCTAAACCAGAAGAGCTGAGGCAGTATTTTGTTTTCCAAGAATTTATAGAGTTTACGAGGATTTTGTAGCTTGCTCGCTTCTGGTCGTTATAGAGGTATTAAAAAAAAAATTAAGCTTCGTCACACTATAATATTGGGTAAGCGTGGTCAAGTTCTTCATAGTTTATCAGTAATGCGAGAAAATATTTTTTTTTTATTTCTTTTGAAAAACAGAGTTGTTCTCAGTTTATCTACCATTGTAGGCGTCTACTTCGACCGATTTACATCATTTTCAATACCAACCTGTGCGCAAGAACTTTCGATGTTTCTGCCAAATTTGAAGTCGATACCGACCAGGAGAATATGTACAGAGATTCAGGATTTTTGAGACTGATCAAGAATATATATACTTTTCTTTGGTCTTAGAAACATCCCCTTCTAGGCGTTGCAAGCATTTTGAGAAAATGACCTATGCCCTCTTTCTTTCGGTAGAGTAATAGATAATGGGTAATGGGGATTCAGTGTAAGTTCATCACATTTATTTGCTCACATAAGCTGACAAGTTATGGTAGTAAAGCAAGCATGGGTTGCAGTATTTACTTTAAAAATAAGAAAAGTCCCGCCTTGAAATAAAACCTAACTCAGAATAGTTAAGTAAATACCGTAGTTAGCTAATGCGTCCAATCGAATACTTTAAAGCATATTTTGATCACATCTATAAACACTTTATTAAACAATATGTTTGAGTAATTTCTTTACTCGGTGTTGCTTGGCTACACTATAAAAAATAAACAAAATACAATCTCAGATTTATTCACATTATACTTAAGGTATGTGTATAAAAATGATATTTAAACTACTATCTATATCAGAAAAATGTAATTAAAAAGCATGTACACACCAACAATGAAAATCATGCATGTCTTGTACATACTTCAAGAATTCAAATTGCTCTCGACGCTCTTATGCATTACGTCCGGAGTATGTATGTATATACTATATATATATGAAAGTTTTTGTTCTTCTTTTTTTTTATTAAGGTAATGTTTAATATATTTTTGTAAAATATTTAGGTGGTTGTGTATGACAATGATCGTTGGCGATCATTTTCTTTCTTTTTCCTTGTTTTCTTTTGTATCATTTTAACAAATATATATAAAATAAACATTTGAGCACATCAATAAAAATCTATTGTTTTCAAAATTCTATTTAATTTTTTTTCCTTTTTTTTAACGTGTATGTGGATGTAAGTTTCTGTTATTTAGTGAGTGAGGTGAGATTAGATTCAGGAGAGATTCTTTTTTTTATTTTTATCTAAAAATCATCGTTCGTATATATATATATATATATATATATATATATATGAATGAATAAGTAAATTCATCAAAATATGTATGTATATACCGTTAACCTGTTAATCAAACAGAATAATTTTTTTTCTTCTTTTCATTTTCCTTTTTTCGTTTTTTCAGCAACTTTTGACTTTTTCTCTTTTATGGCGATATAAGTTTTTCATAATTTGGCCCGTTTTAAAGATTGCGGTATGTAACGGTAAAATCTTCTTAATCATAAACATTAGCTGAGCACACACGAGTATATTTATAATTGTTATATTCTTTAGTCATTCGCCAAATTATTGTCGATGATCACTTGTATGATGCGTAAGCATTCTCTTTGTCGAGCTGCGGTATTATCAACCAACTGTTCTATAAATTGGCTAGAATCGATGGTCGTATTGGGCGGTACATCTTGCGTACACGATATGTACTTGTTAAATATTTCCGTGTTAAGGGAAGTTGAACGATAGCTTTCGTCCTGTTGCAGCATTTTATTAAGTGTTTGGGCCGATGATAAAAGTTTCCCTTTAGTCTTTTGATAGGCGTGCAGTTCTTGCAAGCTGGCATAATCCTCACTGGACAAATCAATGGTGTTTGGTCCGTTTTTCTGTTCAGGTGGCTTAATGGCCTTCTTTGAAAGTGCTATATGATTTTTACGTTCCGACACAAAGTTGCCTAATAAGTAACCTAAAAACCGCAAGGCAATAATGTTGTTAATCATTATTATGTCTAACTTAAATACACATATAAGCTGTCTTCATTTGGGCGCCATCTTTGGGTTTGCTTTCTTTTTTTTTGAGGTTATTTGATAACATTTGCTTTAACTTAATTGCTGACAGAGAGAAATCATTTCTCACAAAAAAATCCTTACTATTTTCAGAAAGTGCCACCCGTTAAACCGTTAAACGATGTTTGTTGAAATTTCATGCCATTTCAATCATTCGGCTACGAGCGGTTCTATTAACGCTAGTATTATTATTTTGAAAACAATGAAAAAAGTCGAAATTCGTGAGTTGATCAAACATTGCCATATGGTCTATTGGTTAGGATATCCGGCAAATACCAGGAAGAACCACTATTTTACCTTATACTATTTCAAAATTTATCGAATACGTAGAAGGGCGCATACGGCACACGAATAACTTCCCAAAGACTAATTGGAGATGATAACTTATATATCTGTTTGTTGGCCACTCTACTCCGTCGAAAGTAATAATTTGTATAGGAACACCGCTAATAAGCAGTAAAGGTTCGTAAACCACCATAAAATATCAAAAGATTAAATATTAAATATTCGATAATTGAAAAACGAAGTTGTAGAAAAGCTAACCTCCTACAGATATCAAAGAGAAGTGGACTTGCAATTTTGCATGAAAATGCAAAGAAACTTGTGTTCCACATGTATATCGCATTTAACTATGATTGAAAAAAAAACTGCTCTTTAACTATGGCAAGTAATAATAGCTTACGGGTTCACCGGCTACAGCCGGCTGGGTGAAAAGCAATTGCTAAATGCTATACAAAGCACAACAATCCGCCGGCAAAGTTTTTCATGCGTATATTTCTTCTTCCTTTTGGGCTTTTTTTACAATTCAGCAAATCAACAACAGATGATTCATTGCGGTTCAGATGTGACTATTTAGCGGGAAAGGTGGACACTTTCTCGTTATCCTTTCATGAAATCACGAGAATTTTACTGTAAGTTTGAATCTGTGCGCGAATAGGGGAAATGTATAAAATATTGATATTAATAATAAATAAAATACGACATTGAAGTATCTAGTTATTAGCAAAAAAACTCAACGAGGTTCGCCCTTAAATGAAAAACTTTAATATGCGTATATAAAAACATTTCACATACTCACCTGAAATCAATGTAAAAAAGGCTATTGTCAATATTAAAGTGACACAAGTTCGCTTCGTTACATATTCCCGATATTCTGTGGAATTATTGGCTCGCACTGCTGTCTCATAACTCAGTACTTGATGCATGATTCGTGCAGTTTGCTCATTTAATTCATTTACATAAAATTATTAGTGTGTTTATGTCTATCGGTATTCAGTTCTTGTTTCATTTATACATAGCTATGGTATGGAATGCGTTTAAATATATGCACATATACATATTTGATCTATGCATCCTTTAAGTCATATGCTGTTCGGGTAAATTCAGTTATTGCACATCATTAAGATCAGGTATGAAGTCTTTATAGGAAGTTTTACTAGAATGGAACTGTAATCGAAGCGAATGAAAAAGCAAATCTAATTTAGTTAATAGAATCAAAATGTATACAAATAAATGAGATGAGAGAGAGAGAGAGAAAACGTTATATATATATATATTATGTGATGGAAAAATTAATAATTCTTACGTCGTATGTTATATCACATATTTTTTGATAGTTTTGATGTAATTAAAATTAAAACTAAATGAAATCTTGTTTAGCTGCAAAAATTTACTTCCAAACTGAGCAGCCATCAATAAGCGACGCGACTAGATCTGCTTACTATGGATAGCTCTGAGTATTTCTAAAGTATATTGATGCGCGACCTATGACTAGCTTAAGCTTTTGAAGACTGCGAAAGTTTACTAACCTCAAAATTTCTTTAAATAAGTAAAAAAGTGGAATTCAACTTTATTTCTTAGGCAAGACTGAGTGCTTCGCACTTTATCTTATCTCAACCTATCGTTCATGCATCCAATTCAGAAGAGTCTCGTTATTTTTAAAACGAATCTGTCGAATATGTTGACGATGACACTTTACGGTCTTCGTTTTCTTTGCTGATTGGTATTCCTATCCAGCCTTTAGGCTAGTCTATCTATTTTTCTCATGTTCTTACACAAGTGTAGATGTAGAAAATGAACTTTCTTAAAAACTTTCCTTTGCTTTTACTTTTTCCAGCAGTGTACATATAATTTTCATCTGTATGTTTGATTCTGATTAGTTTGTCTTTGTTTATTTATTTATTTATTTATTTACTTTTTTCACATTCATGTTTGTTACATTTTTCGGTTATATAATCGAAATATTTATTCATGTATAACGCATCGTATTCGCGACGTACCTAATATGCAATATGATGCTTAATGACCTGAGATCTGACAGAGTAAAAAGGTAAGAATTGGTAGCGCCAGAACATTCCAATGCAAACGAATGGGCAGACAGTTTGTTACATTCTAAGTATACTGAAGTTAACTTAAGATAGAATTTAGCATAACAACAGTAAGGATAAGTCTGCGTTAAGTAATTACATATACATACTATTTAGGTTTAAGCCAGCTTGCTACAAATTGAAAGCATCTGTGTTGCAAAGGCAAAGGCTTGAATTAGCGGACCGATGATTGTTTCTACCATATGTAATCATTTTTAATTGGTCACATCAACTACATCGTGCGTAGCTATTCCCTTTTAGTTTCGTACAATTATGTATATCAAGTTCCCCGAGTGATAAAATCAGTATTTTGTGTTTCTAAATACTTTTAGTTGCCATATCAAATTCAAATTTTATTTGTTTTTGTTTTAAAGTTGTTTACGTTATTTTCCATGAAAATAAGTTTAGTGACGAAATTTAAATTTGATTCACTGTGTATATGAATAATTACTATTCTAACATCACATATATATATCGCGGAATAATACATAGTAAATAAATTATATGCATGTTATTAAATGCTAGTTTTCGCCAAGTTAAATAACGAATCACGGTTTCATATATTTTTTCACACTTAAAAACCACTAAACGGACACGTAAACATATCTGTATCTCAGTATTCACAAACAGACAGCAGGAGGTGCAACATTTTCGTTATAAATTGTTAATTTATATGCATTTAAATTTAAATCCATATTGTGGTCGCATTATCAACCAGCATATAACTGCGCTAAGAAGCGATTATTATAGTACCTTGTTGACATAGAAGCACGTACGTGTAAACCATAATTATAATATAAATGCATATAAAGAGGATATCACAACTGATAGAGAGACTCAACTAAATCCAAAATTACTTTTAGCTAAGTGAAGCTTTTAAAGTGAATTAAAGCCATTTAATGTTCTATCACTTCTACGTGAGACCTAAAACAGGACAAAACTTAATTTTCAAAACGAGAACGTACGAGTTCAATGATAATTAAAACTACTATTCATTCAGGTGATTTTTGAATGCATGAAAATTGACTGAAAAAACACCTAAGAACTATAGCACTTCCTGAGAATCCTTATATGCAGTGATGTTCAAAAATAAGCTAAAATCGATTAGGTTGATTTCTTTACTAATTCTCATCGTGAATCATGGATAAAATCGATCCCGTTTGGTACAACACAGAGTGATACTAACACTTCTCTAAATTAGTTAGAGAAGGGTTGATTATGGGCCGAAAATTTTGGAACTTTATGTATGGGTAACCATTGCGAAAGCTGCGTTAAAAATGTAACGACTTGCTCTTCAATTTCATTGTCTTATTTTATTTGCATACAGAAGTATACAAAATAATTACTATAATTTTTTTTTAATATATACAATAAATATACACAATAGCGCCAAAGAGAAGATACTTATATATATGATAATGTATATTAGCCTTTCTGGGTTCTCTGAGTTTTAACATTAAAACCGCCTTTGCTTATACCACACATTACGCGTATCTACACTTTTTTTTTATTAATTTTTTGTATGTATATTGTCCATGTTGTTGGTTAAAACATGCAATTTTTTTGTCGTAGACATGATTTACTTAAGGTCAACAAAGTGTACATTTAACTGATAAAGGATAAAATAATTTATAGTTCTATACTTGAACGCATTGTAAATACATTGTTTATTGTGAGTATGTGGAGCACTATCACATGATTATCCAGATAATCTAAAAAGTGTTATACACTTCTAATAAAAGCTATAGCTTTAATTAAAACTAAACGTTACTATGTATGGAAATAGGTAGATGGAATGAAATGAATACATAAGTGGATCAATATATATTGCTGCCTCATATAATAGTGGTTGCATTAATTTTACAATAGCTATACTTTAACGCACACGCATCCTTTTATACATAAAATCATCACTTGCATTTATAAAAGTAATAAAATAGAAGAAGAAACTCTAATAGAAACTATATCGTCACATTTCTATAAATAGCATGAATGAAATAATATAAAAAAACCTCTTCATAGTGTATCAGCAAGCGTAAATATGTATATATATATACTAATACATATTGATACAACGGAAAACCTGAGAAAAAAATCTAAAAGAGCCATTTCTAAAAATAAACATCAATATCAAGTTATTTTATGACATATTGGTTTAAAAATCAATATAAGTAAAATTGCAAAATATTTAAACATTTCTTTAAATTGCAATAAAGTAAGTAAAAAACCTTCGCCTTGTTCGCAATGAAATACCTAACCTATCAAGTAGAAGTATAAGTACAAATTGGATAGAGAATGCACAGCTATGTTATTCTAGCAAGAGTGTTGTACATCCGCAGCCTCAAACATTTTCGAAAAGTTTCTACTAATACTATTCATCTCTATTAGGTTTAGTATAACTATATTATTAAGCTTTTATGCGAAATGTTAGGTAAATATTTTTTGTAGTGACTACTACATAATTGCTTTGATATTTACATTTTTCAAGTTTTGAATTTGTTTAAGCTTTTTTATACGTTCAGGGTATCTCTTCCGCACATTTAATTTTTTGGTATAAACTAAGATTATAGGAGTCAAGTCTCAATTTTCTCGATATTTTCAATCACGAAGTTGTAACAGCGACTAAAGATGGATGAAATTTATTCATCGAGCAAGGCTTTTCTGGATGTGCATGTGCAACTAAGTTCCTAGCTAACAGTATGTGTAATCCTCAGACAAGTCTGAAGTTGTGTTCCTTATTGGAGGAATATCTGTCAAGAAATAATCAGTCCTGACAGGACCAATAATATCGCAATGCAAATGCAGCAAAGATATTGCGTTTTGTTACGCTTTTGGGCGAAACTTTGATTTTCTATTGTAGCCTGAAAGAAAGTGCAGCGAAAACTTGCCGGTTTCCTCACCAAATCTACGACAGCGAGGCTGTCGATCGATAACTGTCCGTCCGATGCTGAGAATAAGGAAAGCTACGAAAGACCAAAAACAATTGACCGTCTGCTAGCGTGATTGGATGCTGATGATGGGCAAACGCAAGATCACCTGCGGAGACTGTAAAAGTGACTCGGAAAAATATGTGTGTAACAGAAAATAAATACATTTAACCAATTAGTCAAAGTCACACACGTTTGTGTAACAAACTAATATATTATATTAGTTTAATTATAAGGTCGTATGTTTGAAAGAAGAAAGGGATGAAAATGCATGCAGGTGGCTACGCTATGGTGATTGCATGCAAAGTGCAAAGTGCGAGTAAATTTCAGAAGCAAAATATTTGGGAGGACTTAGCGGACAAGAAGATTATATCGGATTGTAGTGTGTAGATTAGACGACAAGACGAAAACGCTTGCAACGTACTTACTACGTTGCTTCTGCGCTGCTTCTCGTAACGAACGTTTTCTTGTCAGTTTACGAAACGTTTTTAATTGAAATGAAAAATGTGGATACATATAAAAACACGACTTCCTATTGATAGTATAAATAGCATAATCGCTTACTAAAAATAAGTGAATAGAGAGAAGAGATTTTTCTTTTTTATTTAATTTCTGCATTTTTTTTCTTTTTTAGTTACTAGAGATACGTTAAAGAATATCAAATTTCAATAACACGGATGGATGGACAAAATCAATACATTTAAATCGTTATACAAGTCCTTACACTTTATAAAGGGTTTTACAAATTTGCCCTGAATGTTAAAAATACACAGGGATGACATCAATCCAACCCAACACCAATGAATATACGAAAGTTTATTGTTTTCAATGTCAAAAACGCTTAGATTATTACTGTATACTATATACTAAATATATATATATATGTAATACAAACACAGATTTACGATTATTTCTCACAACTGGTCTTTGAAAAGGAGGAAATTATGTTACTCTTTTTTCAAGCTTGAAAAATTTTGTCTACGTTAACATAAAAAGCAAAGCTTACTAATAATCTTTTTATGAGCAACATCACAGAGAGGTCGCAAGTGTTCAGGCAGTCACAAGCATTTTGTTATTTATCGTGTTTTTCTTTTTGGGGGGGAACTTGACAACTTTTTTTTTTACAAAAAAAAAAAATTGATATCGAAAAGTG